ACAAAGCACACCACTGATGGCACCATACTGCATGGCCCCTCAGAGCGGCTGCACCTGTCTCCCTCTGGGGCTGGGAGCTCTCCATAGGCTCGGCAGCAGGGCTCTGCTCATCCACCCAGCCACAGTGTGCCTACCAATGGCCTTCACAAAACACTACATGAACAAACTAGCTAGAATATTTATAGAATGGGATCTTGAATCTATTCCATAAGTTACAGAAAAGTATGGAAACACTGATTATTTACTACTATGTCATTAAGTATATAGGATTCTAATGAATAAAGCCAGTTAACAACAATTTGCTAGATCAATGCAAAATGTTTTCCCAAACCAAATGTCATCTCTTTTTTAAGTAAATATTCCATTGTGATTTCAAAGGTTTTGAAAAGCTTATTATCTCAAATGTACATAAAAATCACAAAAATCAGATAAGTTTTTTATATTCTTAAAAAATAATTCTACACTCATTATTTAATGGCTCACATTTAATGAGAGACTTTTATGTACTAAACACAGTGCTGAGGGCTTTATATTCTATGACCTCTAATTCTCACAGAGGCTGTAAATAGAATAGATATAGGAAAAATTTAAATAAGGTGCCTATAGTCAGGTGGCTGATGAGCGAAGTCAACGCATTTACAAAGTACCTATCATATCCACAAATCATCTCTACAATGGAGTTGTTATTACTTAATTCAGAATCATAATCTTAAAAGATCTGGAAAACTATTCTAGGTAAATGTCCTATCAGCTGGAAAAGTCAGATAAAATAAAAATAAGGGATATTTCAAATGACCTTTGTAACCTTTCACTCAAATATAAAAGTGGCAGTCACAATCAATAAATTCTTCAAAGAAATGTAGTCCAATAAAATGTCCTTTTGCCAAAGTATAGGTGTGCAGGGTTAAAAAAGATAAAGCTACAGAATCACACAGGCTCAAAAAAACAAAAAAAAAAGGTAATAAGAAGTGACAGACTTTGGAAAAGGAATTCATTTCCAAGGACTGATCCCAAATTGAGACTATAAGGGGTGATGTCATCCTTCAGTTCCTCCAGACACTGCCAAAAGATTAAAGTATCTGGGGCACCCAACAGAAAATCCAAAGCTGTATGCGATCAGCAAACAAAGTCTCATCTGAGGACGCCTCACACCCGGAAAATGGGGAGTGCACAAGTTCATACAAAGGGGCCCACTCTGGCCTCTGTCCATCCACAAAGCTCATTCTAGCAACTGTTGCTCCAGAATAGGAGGGGATAAATTTTTTTCCTTAAAGGGCCAACTATGCTGATGGCATAGCCTAAAAGCAGCCACAGAGAAGCAAGTAAATGAATGAGCCTGCCTGTATTCTGATAAAACTTTATTTGTGAAAGCAGGCAGGGGGCCAGGTTTGGCCCACGGGCTGCAGTTTGCTCTAGAAGAAGAACAGGATCCCTGTCTGCTCGGGGACATAGCACTGAAATGCAACCAAAACAAACAACTTGTGGTAGCCTGGGGCCAGGACAAAATTTATGAGCATCAGTGCTGATCATATCTCCACCAACAAGCTGAGACTCTGAAAGATAGGGCTGCAAGGAGAGATTCCAAGGTGGCTCATTTTTAATACAAGAATGTATGCTTTTAATTCATAAACCAGGAAATCATGAAAACAAAAATATTAATTCTGGAAATTCAACAAATAAATTTAATAACTTATATAAAATTCATATTTGAGTGTTTTAACATTTGTGTAGTCAAACCCATCTTATCTTCTATTCTGCACTTTTCTTTTTTTTTTTTTTGAGACAGAGCCTCAAGCTATCCCCCTGGGTAGAGTGCCATGGCATTACAGCTCACAGCAACCTCCAACTCCTGGGCTCAAGCGAGTCTCCTGCCTCCGCCTCCCAAGTAGCTGGGACCACAGGCGCCCGCCACAACGCCCGGCTATGTTTTGGTTGCAGCCGTCATTGTTTGGCGGGTCCGGGCTGGGGATTCGAACCCGCCACCTTAGGTGTACGTGGCTGGCGCCTTAGCCGGTTGAGCTATAGGCGCCGAGCCTCTGCACTTTTCTGAAGGATAATCAATGTTCCTTTTAGTTACCATAACTCTTGTGATATGTACATAATCCTTTCTTCAAGGGCTAGATGTGGTTAAGAATTAAGAAGTTTTGGCACATAGGATAACTGAGTGCCCACACGTACAAGACCCAGACAGAACCCCCCTAAAACCCATCACACTGCCAAGGCAGAGTGTGTACACAGCAGAATTCTGGACAGGTCAAATCAGATTCTACTGTGACACCAGAAGTGAAAAAGCTGGACTCAGCTTTCTGGATCTTAAAATTGCAGACCATGACCTGTAGGCCAGAACACCTCCACCCCTCACCCAAAGCCCTCTCAATCCTACTTGAATAAAATGTAACTTCCTCCAGGTTGGGCAGGCCCCTGGATCATACTCCTGGCTTCACACTCTCTCTAGCCAGTTGAACTACCTGTTCTGGGGGGCCTCCCGCCCCAGCTCTCAGTGGGGGTGTGCCCTCTTCCCCGGAGAGGCCTACTGGGCCCCAGCCATCTACCCTCTCGCTCCTGTTGTACAACCATATTTGCTTCAGAATCATTATCGTTATTCACAAATATCTCCCTTGCAACTTGCTCCAAGTCTGTTTCCTCTACTAGAATCTAGGAGTCCCAGAGATTTGTGTGCTGAGCTCAAAGCTGGCTCCGTAGGGCCTAAAATGTGTGGAGCACCTGGCCACTGCTCCATCAATAGCCAAAGAATCTAATATGACAACCTCCAACTAGGCTTCTAAAAATGTGGCCCACCATGTGCTCAGTTATTTCTACACGCTGCCCCTATTCCCCCCTCTCTAACATCATTGACCTTTTTTTGTTTACCAACAGGGAAATTGAGGTAAAGGAAAGTTGCATGATTACTCCAAGAGCACAGAAGTATGAAATATGTTTCAAAAGGACAACCTGAGTCTTAGAAGAGAAACAGGTCCTTTCCCACTCTGCCAGACCCCTGTGCCCCCCACCCCAATCTGTGCGTCCACATCTGACTCTCAGAGCAGGGTGATCACATGCACAGGACACTTCTGGTGCTTCCATGTACACCAAAAAAATCACATATCAGTGACTCACTGATGAACCATCTATCTAATCCAAGCCACAGCTATGAGGGAACAGCTGGAATTAGAAAATTATTTGTACACTGAAAATTTTAAGAAGAATTTTTTCTCTATAAAACCCTGGAGATTTAGCTAATTACTATAATGGCAGATTGCTCAACACTAGGACCCACTGTAAATTATCCCGTTTTCTGAGAAATTCTGGAACTGTCATCTAATTTTCCAGGAACAGGGGATCCATGCTGCCAAGTCTTGCCGATGGATTTCTAGAAGGGTAAGATAGTGTCTTCAAACACTACCAAACACTTCCTCAGAGGACGGCTGTGTGTCCAGGGAATGCCCACCTCCCTCAAGGCTTCCTGGCTACGAATACCTAATGAGTCCATAAAGTAAGGCATTGACTGAGTCTGGGCTCCTGCCATTTCTTCATGTACCAGCAGGAAATCGGAAATGCCAGTGGGAGGCGAGGAGGCAGGGAAGCCAAGGGCGTCTCCAAGTTGCTAACCTTTCCTGTACCATTATTTGGCCCTTAAAGCCTATTCTGTGCCCAGCTGGGGAAGACACCAGTAAAATGGCCATCAGAAGGGCTGGGCCAAGCTGTCCTTTGAGTTCACTGACCCCACCCTCTCGGGGCTAAACCTGTGAAGGGCAGGCAGGCTGGGGCAGGAGTGCAGCCTGGGCCAGGTCATGGGCCAGAGCTAACTGTATCCACAACTCTCGGGGACACACAGAGCTTTAATCAGTGAGGCAAGGCCACACTAAAGACAGCAAGGACAAGCAGGGGCGAGGCTAGACTCACACACCACACAGCCCGGGTGAACTGTACCACAAATGTCCCAGTTCACTAAAGTCTCGTACTCTTTCTGGCTTGGAACCAATTTTGGCTTAGTGTCAAGTCCAATGATTAGAATGAACGGAATTCCTAATCTTCAGCCTTTTTCTGAAGGTTTGCTTCACTTTGATGCAAAAAAAAAAAAAGACATCTCTTTGCTAGCCCACTGCTACGCACAAATTCTCATCACTGTAGCTGAAAAGACACTTCACAAAAAGAGAAAAACAACAAGTTTAAAGAAGTATAAAAACCTGACCAAGGCTAGATCATATGTCAAGACTTCAAACTTAAGACTGCTCTCGCTGGGAAGATGAGGCCCGGAGGATGAGCAGGGGCCCTTCCAGAGATAAGGAGGAACCAAGATTCACCAGTCAGGTTCCCCAATCAAACCTAAAGAAGTAAGGGCCACCCCCTCAAAGTGTATCCCTCTCCACAGCCAAGTAAAGTTCAGAATCAAGCCTGTTGAGAAAGATGAAGGGAACATGCGGATGACTCTCCAGCAGCTCATAAAGCAGAGACGGACAGACTGGAGGAACTGAAGTGGGCCTGTGACCTCCAACAAAACGCCGCTCAGAGCTCTCAGAGGAGAGAACTCTGTCTACAACACGCAGGTGGCAACCAGGCCGAGAGGCTCCCCCGCTAAGAAATCACCCCATCCTCCATTCCCACTTACTCGCTCCGTAAGTGCCTGTCACCAGCTAACATCCTGATGGCCACCATCACTCCATTTGCCATCAAAAGTGTGAGGTGCACACACTGTGGCTGCTTCATTCCAAATATCTAACCACAAGAATCTGCGGGCACCGGCAGGCTTGTGGTACAATAAAACTCCTTTAGAAAAGGATGCAGCGGGCAAATGGGCATAGGACAAGGCGATCCCACAAAGCAAGAAAGACCCAGGTGTCACAGTCTTTGACACCGTGGGACTTGTCTACAACCCCTGCACCAGTGTTTCCTTGTAACTTGCAGGTAAGGGAGATGGTCTGTGGCTGCTGACCACATCCATGGTCCGGCCTCTGACCAGCAGCACCATGCCAGAGTCAGAGTCAAACGCTCACCCATACCTGGTAGTACGGATGGTGCAAAAGGGAATCAGGGCAGCCCGCTAAAGCCATGGGTTCCTTTTCCTTCTTCAAATTACATCTACTGCGCAGCAGCACCTGGAACAGAGACAGACTGTGAGAGGCCAAGCCAAGAAAAGTCCACACCTTACGACTGACTCACACACGGCAGGTCTGAATGGGCGACTCCTGCAAGTGGCCTGTTGGCTTGGTTAGGATGTCTCTCAGGACATCAGCTCTCTGCTAAACCCGAGGAGATTGCCACCAAGTACAGAACGCTGAAAAGTCACCTGTGTGGCCGTCAGAGTCTGCAGGCCAGAAGGGCACCGGGGGGTAACGGCGACGTCAGAGGCACTAAACTCACCATTTCTCCCAAACCACTTGACACTTTTTTCTTCTATAACATCTGTTAATACCCAAAGATCTTTTCATATTTTGGGAAATATGGATTTAGGTAAATTCCAAAGAAGTCCAATATGTTGCCAGGGCCAGGGCCACACCTGAGTGACTGCTGCCCCACCTGCCACAGCCCAGAACCAACCACGGTTTTCAGAGGACATGGATCATGACATACGGATCCAACACTCCACCCAGCAAGGGTAGTGCCTGGGGCCACACACCTATAACGGAGGTAAGTTTAGTGGGTCTGGTGACACCCTCGCTCCCTGGGTGCCTTTCTATCCTACAGACAATGGTGACCACACAGATGGCCTCTCAAGAATCCATCATTAGAGAAATGTATTCTACCAATCAAAAGAGAAAAAAGATAAGGCCCTGTTAAGGGATGAACTATGTCCCCCTAATTGCAGTCTCAACCCCTAATGCCTCCAAATGTGACTATATTTGGAGAGAGGGTCTTAAACAGGTAATTAAATAAAATGAGATCACTAGGATAGCCCTAATCCAATATGACCAGTGTCCTTTCGTGAAGAGATCAGGACACAGACAAACACGAAGACACAGCAAGAAGATGGCCACTGCTAACCAAGACCACAGGCCTCAGGAGAAACCCAACCTCCTTGTCCTTGACAGTGACTTCCAGCCTCTAAGACTGCAAATCTCTGCCACTTAGGCTGCTAGGTTCATGGTTCTTTCTTACAGGAGCCCTAATAAACTTAACACAAACCCAAAATACGAAAACACTTCTACATTCCCATCATGGAATGGGTGATGGAACAGAAGGAACAGAAGCATCTTAAATATGTAAAATGTGGGTGCGTCAAATGATCCGTACAAGAATGAAGAATAGCCCCAGATAATCCAGTCAGGCTGAAGGGCAGCTGGGGAGAAGCAAAGAAAGGCACCAAGGCAATGAATGGTCAGAGAGCGCCACAGTCCAGCTCATCTGTCCCCAACTCGCTGGACGTGGGCTGTGCCTGCGCCCAGCCTCTGGCCTCTGCCAAGACCAGCAATCCTAAGACACTCATGGCCTCTGCGTTATCTGGTCTTGGGCTTCAACTGTCCAAGCTCTAGGACCCAGGCATTTAATGGAACCCCAGGACTCTGCAAACACGGTTAATATCTACAGTCACTTGACTGTAAGTAAAGGGGATGACCCTTCACAGAGGCACCATCCAACTCACTGAAGCCTTACAAGCAAAAACAGATTTCGTAGAGAAGAAGGAATTTACCTTAAACACTATAGTGAACCCCTGCCTGAGTTTTCAGACTGCCTAGCCACCCCTCAGATTTCAGACTTGCTAGTTTCTTAAACCTATACCCATACACATGCACACACGCACACACACACATATGTAGGTTTGGTTTTACTGCACAACCCCTCATGCCCAGCCCTTGAGGTGGGCTGGTGATCCAAATTACTTGCTGCAAGATCCCAGGACCATACCCAGGTGCCCCCCAGAGGGGAGCAGTTCTGTGGCTCTGATCACTCTGCACCTGACCCCTGTCCCCTCCCAGCTGTCCTCCCGTATCCTAGCCCCATCTCTAAACATTCCTTCCAGGATTTCCCGCCTCACACACATCCCTAAGGGCCTGGGGAAAGGGAGGTAAGTGTCCTTCTAGCCCCCCTAGCTGTGTCAGGAACAGCTCTGTGCCCACCCACCAGGCCACCTGGCCCACTGCTACTGTCCTTTTCCCCATTTTCCCAGCTCATCCCATGCACACTTGCTGGCCCTAACTTGTTTGTCCTCTGGAACTCTTGGACATGCTCAACATATAGAAATACGTTGTTATTTTCCCCCTCAAGTTTCAAACTTCATGTGTGTTAAAATTAGCATGCCAATACTACCCAAGTATCACCTTTAAAAGTATTTACCAAATGAGATTGCCTCTCAACCAGGACAATGGACACCCCATAAGGCCAGGTGAATGGTTTCCCTTGGGACACGTGAACTATAGTTCTCTAGACATCATGTTGAAAGTTCTGGCTAGAACATTCAGACAAGAAAAAGAAATAAAAGATATCCAAATTAGAAAGGAAGAACTAAAATTATCTCTGTTCACAAACTATATCTTACATGTAGAAAACCATAGAAATTATATACTTAAAATGAGTAGAGCTAAGAAGCAAGTTCAGCAAAGGTACAGGATACAAAGTGAACATCTAAAAATCAATTGTGTTTATAAATAAGTAATAACTCAATGAACAATTAAGAAAATAATTTCATTTGCAATAGCATCAAGAATAATAAAAAGGCTAGGAATAAATTTAATCAAAGAAGTAAAAGAAATGTATACTGAAAACTATAAAATGTTGCTAAGAGAATATTGGAAAGGCATAAAGAAACAGAAAGACATACTGTATTTCTGGGCCGGAGGACTTAACGTTGTTAAGATGAAATACTCCCTACTGTAATTGACACATTCAATGCTCTCCCTATCAAAAACCAACTGGCATTTTTTTTTTTTTTTTGCAGAAAAAGAAAAAGCCATCCTATAATGCATATGGATTCTAAGAGAACCCAAATAGCCAAAACAATCTTGAAAAAGAACAGAGTTAGAGCTAACTCATATTTCCTGATTTCAAAATTTACTATAAGGCTGTAGCAATCAAAACAGTTTCTACTGGCAGAAGGACAACCATAAACAAATGGAACAGAGAGCTCAGAAATCTACTTTTGCATACGTGGTCAATTGACTTTCAACAAGAGGGACAAGATCATTCACTGCAGACAGGGTAGGCTTTTTAATAAATGGTCTTGGGAAAACTGGATTGGCATGCACGACTAGACCCTGACCTTAAACCACAGACAAAAGTTTACTCAAAATGGATGAAAGACTTAAACATAAGAGCACAAGATTCTTAGAAGAAAACGCAGGGGAAAAATCTTCATGACATTGGATGCAACAATGATTTCTTGGGTATGACACCAAAGGCATAGACAACAAAAGAAAAAAATAGATAAATTAGCCTTCACCAAAATTAAAAACATTTCTACATCAAAGGACACTATCAAGAGAGAAGGTGATGGAACAGAAGCATCTTAAATATGTAAACAACCCACAGAATGGGGAAAATATCCTCAAAGCATTGTATCTCATAAGGTATTAATATGTAGAATACACAAAGCACTCCTGCTATAGTACTCAACAACAAAAGCACAAATAACCCAATGCAAAAAGGACTTGGACAGACATTTCTCAAAAAAAAAAATATATATATATATATATATTTATTTATTGGCAATATATGGCCAATAAGCACATAAGAAAGTATTCTATATCAGTAGTCATTAGAGAAATGCAAATCAATACCACAATGAGATACCAACATACACCCACTAGGATGGCTGACATGAAAAGTAAATAAATGCCAGGCTGGTAAAGGATGTGGACAAATGAAACCCTCGTGCATTAATGGTGGCACATGAAAGGGTGCAAAGCTACTGCTGAAAACGATACGGCAATTCCTCAAAAAATGAAACGCAGAATGAACATGTGACCCATCAATTCCACTTCTAAGCATACGACCTAAAAAGATGAAAAGCAGAAACTCAGATACGTGGGGCACCTGTGCTCACAGCAGCTCAACTCACCACACCTGGACGGTGGGAGCAACCCAAGTGTCTATGGATGAATCAGTGAATAAACAGACTGTGGTGCACATATACATGTACGTGAAATGTCAACCTTCAACAAGGGTGTTGAGACCATGCTTTAAATAGAGCTAAGCCTCAGAAAGTAATTAAATTCTGGCAGGTGGTATAACATAGACAAACCATTAATATGTTATAGTAAGTGAACTAAGCTAGTCACAAAAGGACAAACACTTCATGATCCCACTTATATTCACATGAGATACCTATTAAAGACAAATTCAGAGACAAAAAGAAAAATGGAGGTCACAGGGAAGTGGGTGGGGGGGATTGGGAAGAAGAAATTGTTCAATGAGGAACAGTTTCTCTTTAGGATGATGAAAAGTTCTGGCAATGACAGTGACAGGTGAAACAACATTGTGAATGTGTTAATACTTAAATCCAGAATCATACACCTAAACATGGCCAAAACGGTAAATTTCATTTTGTATAGTTTACTCCAATTAAAAATTATCAACAAATTGGTTACTCAGTGAGCTTCCTTTAATAAAATCAAATACCTCTGCTAAATTTTTTAGCATAACCACAAGATTCAGTAGAATTTCTTATGATGCTAAAGCTTGGAGACACATACGTAAAGCAGTGATTCCAAATAGCACTTTGCAGATCCAAATGGTTTTTAAAAATTAACAGCATCATGTTTTCTGGTCATACATGTGCCACCCTTGGGAAGTTGTCTGCAGATTTTCCATTTTGATTTAGCTTGACCCTCAATGCCCTTTTCCAATTCTGCAATTCTAGGGAACCCTCAAGGGTCTGTGAGGCAAAGTGTGACCCTTACAGCAAATGCCCACCATAAAATTACCCTCCTACTTATAACCGACAAATACCAAAAGTTCTGCCACTATTGATCCTCTCAGAAAGACTGAATAACCTTCAACAAGGGTGGTGAGACCATGTTTTAAAAAAAAGACTAATAGAGCTAAGTCATTAAGTTCAGCAAAGCTACAGGACACTAAATCAACATCTAAAACCCAGTTTTGTTCATAAATAAAGAATAACTCAATGAATAATTAAGAAAACAATTTCACTTACAATAGCATC